GATTTAGCTTTCTCTACGTTTACATCTGCTAGTGTTAGTGCCCACAGGCATATATCGCATAAGACACACACACACATATATACATATATATATGGGGCACGCGGTAGTGTAGTTGGTTGAGGCACTATGCTACAAGAGGGAAGGTCGAGGGGGTTCAAGTACCGATGAGGTCATTGAATTTTTTTAATTGACCTAATCCTTCCAGCCGAACTTAGGCCCTGGGGTTGACTCAGCCTCTAACAGAAATGAGTGCCAGGAATATTCTTTGGATATTTTTTGGGGTAAAAGTTGGCCGGCGTGTAGGGCTGACAACCCTGCCGCCATCTGAGAGCCGACTGTGTAGACAATATGGGAACCTCAACATCTCACAACTCTATGGGCCTCTACGGCCTGTTACAGGGATACCTTTACTTTTTACTTTATATATATATTAAAGAATATTCCCTACAGGGTATGAATATCTGAACATTGTGGTAGAGTTCTTGAGATGTGCAGACTCCCTATCCAAAATTTGTACTGTTTTGCCATGCGTTTCTCTATCACAGAATTAATTCACAGCTGAAACACACGTCATAGTTTGATACGAGAACGCAGCTCATCCCAAGATGTGATCTAAGGTTTTCACAGCGGTGAAGATTAGTTTTGTCATCTATGGGCTTTAGACACGGCATAGTCTGACAGATGAGTACCAAGGATCACCCTCAGATTAGAAGTGGAGGTGAATGCGTTGTGTTCTTCTGAAAGATTTGTAATCACCTATCAGACCACACGGTGTCATAACTCAGAAGACCTCGACACAATACTCAATTTGAACTTTAAGACAAAGTGACAGTCATAATTGACTCGATCCTCTTGCATAGTATTAAAAAAGATATTGATTAAACTTCGTGGTAAAGTAGTTAATGCTTGTGTTTCGTATTTTGGGTGTATCGAATTCAAAAGTCGATCAAAAGATAGCCTATACTGAACGAGGTTTTACGTGATTTTTCCCAGGTCCTTTCCAAAGTAGCCACGACCACTACTTTCCCGCGTTTTCCGGTTCATAATCACGAAATCATCCCGCTATTCGACACTACACAGACTGAGCTGCTGACAGTTTTGTTAGATAATGCGTAATTAAATAAATATCAACATTGAGAAACGCTTCAGGGACTGACGGTGTACCGGTTGGCGTCTCTGCTAAGAGTATAATGACGTAGCCTATTTGATTGTATGTAAAGTAATCCCAAAGCTATTCCGAGTGTTTTTTGTGTGTAGAAGCGGTTTAAGATAGGAACAATAATATTGAACATAGTATTTGAATTGTGTGAACATACGTCATGCACAAAATGGAATAAATGAATGCATATTTGTAGGGTCTGCGCTCGAGCCCGTCCCTCCATCAGTCTGCACGCTTCTTCCCCGAAATTTCTGATATCATGTGGAGCCGATATTAAAGTCGGATTTCATCCCTCGAAGTAAATGGCCATGTCTCACACACCTATATAAAATAACTGACACAATTATACGCAGAATGTCTCATAATCACATGCCATAATTTACAGGATGCTTCCTGGACATTAAAATTGTTTTAAAATTTCGTATGAATATGCACCCTGATGATCATTATTCAAGGTTCATTACATTATTCACAAAAGCCCTCCACTAGTTCCTATCCTGAACCAGATCAATCAAATCCATACCATCCCATCCTAACCAAGATCCATTTTAATATTGTCCACCCACCTATGTCTTGGTTTTCCTAGTGACCTCTTTCCTTCTGGCCTTCCCACCAGTATCCTACATGCATTCCTCTTCTCCCCATTAGTGCTACATGCCCTACCCATCTCATCCTCCTTAACTTGATCATTCCTAATTGTACTTGGCCAAGACTACAAGTTGTGCAAGTTATGAAGTTCCTCACCCATACAGAACCACAGGAAAATTTATAGTTTTGTATGTTCTAATTTTTATGTATGTTTAAGTATTAAATAACAAAATATACAATTGCAATTTCAATAATTTTATGTTACCTACAGTCAACCAAGCACCTTGGAAAGTGATTATGAGCTAGTCATGCTCCTTCCATGACACCCATGGACTAACATAATACAGATGAAGATTGCTATCTCATCAAGTGTGATATTTTGTGGTTTAGCAGATATTTATAGTGTTGCAGAGGAACATGTTTACTCTAGCCATAGGATGGAAGAGTCCATTCTACTTTGAAGATAAATGCAACATGTTTACCAGGGACATTGGCAAATTTTTACCAGACTACATGGCATCATATCCCAGTAATTTTCATCTTTGTCTTCATAGTCTGCACGTGAAACCCCAAATCTTAACTCCATTCAGTAGTGCACAGTCTGAGAGGATTGTTCTCTCACCTTAACTCTGTTTACAGGTTAAGCGACCGACTGCCACTCCTCATGCCTTACTTCGCAGCACAAGTGAATCAAGAACGAGACTAACGGACATACAGAGAAGCATGGAAACTGTGGATCTAGGGGAAGAACTTGACCTTGAAGCAGAAGACACAATTCTTGTACCAAGCAGAGTTCTATCTGTCATTTCAAGTATAGCAAAACTTGTTAAAACCACATTTGTGAATCATCAGCTTGGACACAGTCAGGAGGGCAAGATATGTGATGCGTGACTTCATATATGTCCATCTTCTAAAAGTTTCGCAACAGTACCAAATCAATCATGAAGAGAGAGAAAATGTCAGGGAACATACACTTGCCAGAGAGTCTGGTACATCAGTAATGTGCATGGATATTATCAAGGGCATGAACAGTAGCTCCAGCTCTCAATAACGTTTAAGGATTCATTCCCTAACTTACAGAAAATTCAATGTGTGTCTATCACAAAGATCAGTCAGTTAATAATGTTTACACAAACAATCGCTCTTATTATGAAATAATACATAACACATAAATACATTCAGCGGGCAAAATCCATTGTTCATAATACTGAAGTAGGTGATGAGTTTAGCAGCCACTGTTTTTTAAATGGTACTGAGATGGGAAAAAATCAAGGTTTTTTATATGTATGCCACTGACTTCCAAAATATTAATTATTTTTAAAAATTATTATTAATAAAATTAAGTACTAGTTGACAATGAATACACAAGTAGTGCTGGTATTTTTCTGATGTCAGGGGATAATGATTGATTAAAAGTTTCAGGAAATTTGAGGCTTTGGGCACATTTTTTCACAAAAGAATGGCAATACATAAAAGTTGAAATATGAGATGTTGGTGAAGAAACAGTGTATATCTTTTAAAGGCTCTTCAGGAAGTTTGTGCTGTCTAGCATCTTCAGTTTCAAGCAGTTAACATATGCTAACCCCTTACAGAATGTAATATAAACTAGGATCTTCATTACTAAAATAACTAAATTCACTAACCTTCCTCTTCAGACTAACATTGGGTGATGTTATGCAACAGAAAAGCTTATTTTTAATACTCAGTCAAAAAGTATTATATTCTGTCAGCAAATTTGTACTCAGATATACTACAAATAAACTGTGAAGTCCCATAAAAGTAGTTACTGCTTCATAAATAAACTAGGCATCCTTATGTGTCACCCAAAGTAACTCTGGTTCAACTTCAATGATCTACAAATCGGATACATTGATTTGATCTGAATTACTATAATATCTTTGTTTTAGTAGCTTTATGAATGATCGTGTATCAAATGAAACTAGCTGAGAAAATATATTCCACACGAAGCAGAAGAAAATGGTTCTGCTTGAAATTTTACTCACAAATGACACCAGCTAGACAATCCCACTTTGTTGGAATGGCATTGGGTGCAATATTCAAATATAATAGAGTGCTGGGTACAATACTGAAATATGATATAGCTTTGGTGCAATATTCAAACTTTGTATAGCATTGACACTTAAAATGCTGTAGGGCAGAATATCATAAAAAGAAACAGCGTTGAAGCATGTGGTGATGCTTGGAATGATTTTGCACCAAAATTCAGAAACAGACACCTAACATTGAGCTACTCTGAAAAACAAGTTCAAAAGGTGGGATGACTTCAAAAATATGTTAAAATAGTTTAGGCTGTGATATAACTCAAAATTCAGATGCTAGCTTCTCACATCCAAGTCCTGGATTCAGTGCCAGATGACTTCATGTGTGATTCATGGTGGACAAAGTAACATTAGAATAGGATTTCTCTTCTTCTCCCTGGTAATTATAATTCACCATTGTTCCATATTCATATCTCAGTGTTCTCTGATGTATTAGGCAGCCCCTTTACAAAAAAGTACATAATCAGACCCTCTGTTTTCAAATGGGAAATATTATCTCTGATCCAGCATATAACTGGTTACAGAGCAATGAAATTTATTAAAATATTACAAAAATATATGATTCAAAATGCCATGGACAAAAACTTGTTACATTCAGGTGTATAACAATGCAGCATGTATGTGATAGATGCAATTAAACACATATAAATTACACAGTGACGTCCATAGGGGCACGAGTGCAGTGTAAGAGCTTGGAACGTCTTTCTCTATTAAACCTAACACCATCATACCACACAACACCAACCCTAAACATACCAGAAAGCTCGCATTTTGGTTATCAATAATTTAAATTGGTAAAATCTTTGATACTTATTATATTTTACAAAAGTCACAACTATTTTATAATTCAAAAGTATTTAATTAATACAATTAGGCACATGATATGATTGCAGCAAGAAATAACAAGTACAATAAATATATGTATTATGAACGTATGAGAGGCAGGACTTCTCGGCCCTTGCACCGCGACCTACAGTGATCAACTGATATTAAATAGAAATATAAAATAAGCTGTTAATATTTACAGTTACATTTGGGCTACCTGAAGACAGGAGGGGCCACCTGATGCTCGGGGAGCAGGCACATTGGAGCCTCCCACATGATAGCACCTGTACACATGTCTATGACGACTCAGACACCTTAATGAAAACAAGCGTAAGTGGTGTTGCTGTGAATGGCCACTTCACTTGTCACGTGGCTATACCTCACACTGCACAATGCATTTTCAGAGGCGTCTCAGAAGTGGCATCAGGAGATTCGAAAGCTTCAGCCTCGGTCTGAAAAACGAAATGGTCAGAATATCAAAATCATACAGAGGCCTTTATTACAATATCAGGACCCGGGTGATGTCCACAAACACACCAGCTAATAACCGGTGGGAACAAGGTAGAGTTCCCTGTAATTTGTAACCAGAATGTCGACAACCTACACTGGAAACAACACTAGAAAGTCATATGGGCATTTGTTAATGGGGTATGAAGTAATTCTGTGAGCTCGGTTGAAAATTTGGCAGAGTTTTCAGAGCAAAATGTAAACGTATGTTTACTGTGTACAAAGTTCACATGCTATTTCACATGGCAGAAAGATCTAAATATATTTGTGTGAGTTGAAAGCCAACGTCATACCTAAGTGAAACAATTGCCTTTCATACATTTGCAGAAAACCCATCTGTAATTTTAGGGGGCTATATTTTTTTTGGAACGGACCTCCTCTCTCATCTAGTGGTTAGTGTTCCTGGCTACAAATCCAAAAGTCCAGAGTTCGATTCCCGGCGCTACTAGATTTTCTGAGAAGTAGTGGGTCTCGAACGGGGTCCATTCAGTCTCGCCCCGGTCTATAAAACCGAGATTAACGGCCGTGGGAATTCGTTTCGCTGACCGCGCGATACCCTCTACCCACTAAAGTTGGCACTAATTTCACCGACCAGCGGCGGCCGCTCGGTCGGTACACTTCGCTTGAGGACTGAAACTACGGAGTTTGTTTTCTTTGTCAATTAGATGTTAGGGTGATAATAAGAGCTTGAACAGTGTTCTGATATGTGTACACCCAATAGGAACTCACATTATAGTGGTTATTTTCTCAAGATCATGGAGATTTATTCAAATATTTTGTAAGGCATGACACGTATATTTTTTGAATAGCTGAAACGTCTATTCTAGACATTTTTACCATACTAAAATATTCCCCAAAAATATGTTAAGCCTGAAGTGATAAGGGGATTAAGATTTAGAGAAGTTAATTGAAAAACAGAAATACAAGGTATAGAGTTTCGTCGAACTCTGTTACGGGCAAAGTAGAGAGCATAAGAGTACTTTAAGGACAACATGAAGTAACGTTTATTGTAGATCTGCCATAAACAGTTTAACCGAAACCGATCCTGCAGTTTTGGCGCTGTTGTTTGCTGACAGACAGGCGCGTTGAAACTAAAAATTGATTTTCAATTGTTTTTTTGAACCCTCCCAACGATTAACATTTATTATTGCATACAGTTTTCATATCACAAGGAAGAGTCACCCCTGAGACAGAAATATTATTAAAAGAATCGAACATAATTAAATTTTTTAAGTTTCAGGTTTTCAATTCCCGCTAACATAACATACTCATTAGTGAATCTAATGATTTTTTTAATTCGCTTAGTGGGGGATGAAGTCCAACTGGGTCCACTCGGCACGGCGGCCACTGCTTGGCCTATTGTAGCCTGCCCCGGGTGATTATGATGATGGAGAATTTGGTGGAATGAAGATTGCCAGGGGAAACCGAAGTACTTGGAGCAAACCTGCTTCAGCGCCACTTTGTCCACCATAAATCCCACTTGACCAGACCCGGGATCGAACCCGGGCCGCCGTGGTGGCAAGCCAGTGACTAAGCGCCTGAGTTACGGCGCGACCTGCGTCTTAGTAGCGTTGTTTTTGTTCCTTGTATATGTCTTATACGTATACACAACACAAACGAATCCAAACATGACGATAACTGGATAAAGAATGGCTGCCAACAAAGCAAAAAATTGGAGTTTTAATTTTTTTTAATGATCTTTGGTGATTTTTAACAGAATACATTTATTTTAAATGGGAGATATCACATTTACATGTGATACGTGAAGTTGTACATACTACGCAGTGAAAAACTTTTAGCAAATAGTGGCACTTGACGTCCGTACACGGCCGAAACATGTAATGGAAAGAGAGGGAGATAATAAGCGGGCTGCACTGTGGACGGAAGTGTAGTGTGTGAATGAAGGGTATATTAATGCAATAGGATGCTTAAATACAAAAACACAAGAAATTTATTCCTCTACTTTAAAATATCCTTAAATTTCAAGACACAAACTTACCTTGTCTTTTTTGGCAGCGTCTGACTTTGACCTTGCAACGGTTTTACTTCTGTTGGAGCTGCTGTATTGTTAGCTGAAGGGGCTGCAGGCTTCGATCCTTCAGGCTTTGAGGAATTCGATATTTCAGCTTCAGTCAATGGCTGAACTAAACCAGTTTCAGTTGTTGAAGACGTCCCGCTTAAAATCTCTGTGAGTTGCTGTTCCAGTGAAACTTCCTCTGACACGCCGGGCACGCTAGCCAAGGCTGCCAGAGCTTCAAGTGGCGCATGTACAATAACAACACCTTTAATATGAACACGTATATTTTCGGTTCCATTTTGTCTTTGATCATAAACAGTCTCTTCAGTAACAGCAGGAGCACATAAAACAGATCCAATGAAAGAAGTAAAGAAAAACAACACAAGAGTATTTACCAGAGATGTCATTTCAATAGCCATCTTTGTATTTAAAGACAGCTTCTTCTGTTAACTGAGTGAAGACAAACAACACCTAACCCGTACCTTGCCGCTGAAGAAGTAATCAGTCAGTTCTTCTAAAACACAGTTGCCAGTTGAACGGCGATTTCATGCTCGCTGAAGGCATTTAAAATATCTGTCGTTAGAATAAAACAAAAATGAGAAGACCTGTTTAAAAAAGTTCTCTCTCGGTTGACCCTTTAAGAGGACAACGTCCTGAGGTAACATAACAACGTGATCCATGACCAAAGCCAACACTTGCTACCATTTGCCACAGCTAAGCATTTCCTGGTGTTGGGCTCTGATAGGGCAAAAGGTCATATAAGTTCATTGACTTACGTCACATGAAACATTGATGGATTTTTAGGGAAACGATGAACAGAACCTGAAATGAAAGAGGTAAGAAAATAGCCACCACGGCAGTGTTGGTGCGTACCTTACTTTATCTGGTAATAATTTCATAATAACAAGGTTCGCAGAACATACAGCGTACCATAGAATAAGCGGCAAATACACAGTGTTACATAGAAGAACGGACAATAATTCACAGCGTATCACGGAAGAAATTTATCACTAGATAGGAGCATCGCGCCTCCTATAAAGAACCATTCAAGTTCTCAGTGTGTATGTTCTAGGAAACCATGAATTTAAGACGATTCTTAGGAGCTATAATGTATAACAATGGATTGATGAAAGGGCTGTCTAGGGACACCGTAGATAGAGATCGGAAATTATCAAGATGGCACCTTGAAATTACAGCGGGTATTTCAAAGTAAGCAAGTTTGCAGCCCAACAAAAAATTCCGCTCAGAGAACGGTATCCTGAGCTCATGAGTTGATGTTCTTAGGATCGAATCCTACTCCAGACTGATTTATTTTTAATACTGCAATTGTAAAAATCCAGTCGCCAATTTTGTAGCTGTTGACTTATAAACAACATTCACAAGAATACACGCTGGTCTTAAATTAAGCTAATTGAAAAACAGTCCCAACCAATTTTGATACCAAACAAGTTAGGTGAAATGGTAACAGTTCTGAATTACATTCAGGATATTCTCAATTTTATATCGAGCGTATAGTTCGCTTGCGGGCTAAAACCCAGGAGTTTGTTTGTTACATTCCCCATTCTAATCTCCGCAAGGATACAGATTACCCTAAATATTGCCATAGCTTTCCAGAGTCGCCTCAGGTAAATGCTGGGATAATCTACCTCAAAATAGGCCACGACCAATTCCTTCCACATTCTTTCCAATTCATCTTTCACTTTTCATCATATCATTTGAAGCTATGACGTAAGGGTCACTGATAGCTTCATTAAATAATAAAAAAATAAATAAATAAAATACCATATTTTCTACTTATGTTTACAGGACCCAAATGAAACTGTTTACTATTAATAGCAACATATTTCTCCATGCCAAAGTACGTTTCTGTTTTGCAGAAAATTTCATTAATGGTGTCCATTTAAATACACACAAATGTAGTTTTACTTGTGCTTAACTAATTCAAAATTTTTCCATGAAGGCATGTGGGGAAGTGGATGCATAGATACACATTTTCTTGACCTTGGCACTAGTTGTAGGTGATTGCCAAAGATACGCAAAAGAGTATTTATTTAGGTTTCCATATAGTGGCTTTCTATGAGTGAATTTTTACATGCAAGGTTCAACTTCGAGTTTAGATAAATAACATATCAGAGATAAGGTACAAACTTAGAATAAAATGGTTGGGCCTATCATACACATCGAAGTTGATAAATGAAAACGGGGAATTTGCAAGATAATTAACATAATCAAAATCCTACTCCACCAACACTCTGCCTAGCATAGTTCCTATATTGGAGAAAATACCTCAATTCAGTCCGAAAAAGAATTGTATCCACCCACTTTAAAAACTGATACTGATACAAATTTCCAGTTAAACATGTTTAATTACAACATTTTATAAACATTACAAACACATTTGCCTCAAAGATTTATATTCTTCAGTCAGATTTATTGATTATCAAAGAAACGTGTTGCTGCTACTTATAGTGGCCATCCGGGATATGAATCCCTGTACTTTAGCAGATACATACTAATATTTCAGAGTAACCAGTTACCTTCTTCTACAAGGTAGATCAAGGCACCGGGTTCCTTCGGAACGAAGGTACCTATTTCCAAATTACACGGCATCATATCTCATACGACTAAGGTCTCACTGCCATGGTAAACTTAATTCTCATTTGACTGCTTGAGATAAGCTTGTAGCTTCATACGTTTTCTCCTGTAACAACTACAGAACATATTGTTAAACATTGAATTAATTCCTTTTCAAAGAAAACGTTTATTTTCACCCATTCTTTGACGTAACTGGATAATTTACAGGTTTAATTTCGTTTTTGGCTACTAATTAAGCTGCGGAAAGTTCAAAGCATTTGGCAAAAAAGAAAAAAACTTCCTTATACTCATATAGGTCGTGCTTTTATTCTAAGTTTGTACGAAAATTGGTGTGCAATCTACGCAGACCAGCCCCTTCGCGTAACGTGTCAGATATGTGAGATATGTGACACATGGCCTTCTTTATCACACCTAGCTAGAAGCAGAACCCGTCAGTCGATACCATCATACTGCGTTCATAAGAAAGCTAAAGGGCTTTACTGCATATTGAGAATGCGGCAGAAGCAAAGCAATAACAAATTAGAATAAATGTGCAAAGTAGACGTAAGAAGATAATATACTACCGAAATTATATTTATATAATCACAAAAGATGAACTGATATGGGAATACAGTAGAGGGAAAAACCTTTTACATTTTCTGAAAGACGGAATGGAATTGTAGCACCAAATCTTTGAGTTGTGATAGTAAGAACATTTATGACTTATTTAACGACGCTGTCAGTAGTTTGTACCAGTGTTTCTCAAACTTTTAAAATAAAGCAACCTCCTTTAAAAATGTTTCTGAAGTATCTAAAGTCTACAAACATGTTTTTTTCTCTGCCACTGCAACACGTTTGTATAAACAATGTAACCGTAACGGTAATTTGGAAGGAATTACCTACAGGAAATAAATTTGCTCTCGTTCTTATAATTGTGCAAAAAAGGTAAGTAAAAGTAAAGCTATCCCTGTAACAGGCCCATAGGGTTGTGAGACGTTGAGGGTCCCACATTATCTGTACAATCGGTTCACAGATGGCGGTAAGGTTGTCAGCCTCACGCCCCGGCCGCGCTTTACTCCCCAGAAAAATTACTCATTTCTGTTAGAGGCTGAGTTGACCCCAGGACCGTAGCGCGGCTGGAAGGATTAGGTAAATTTAATAAAATCCAATGACCTCATCGGGACTTGAACCCGCGACCTTCCGGCTTGTAGCATAGTGCCTCAACAAACTATACTACCGCGTGCCCCGTGCAAAAAAGGTACGAAAACAAAAGTTCAGAATATTTGTGTTCACACCCCCCACCCAGATTATCTCATATACCACCAGTTGAGAAACGCTGGTTTAGATATCATGTCACACAGTTGGATAATTAGCTAATAATGAATCGGAAAAGGGGTAGAAGGAAGCAGCCGTAGGCTACTTTGAGGCAGTATAACAGCACTTGCCTAGATTGACTGAGGAAGACCACGAAATGCCTCAGTGAGAACACAAGTCAGAAGCGTTACTGCTTGACTAGCTTCCTTCTTTTTCTTTTGCAGGAACTTATAGGAATCTGTATAAAATATTTTCGTGACAAAGAAAGTGAATACAAATAACAAAGGAATTTTCTTAAAATACTACTTGCAGAACCTATATTTCGCGCTATTCTAAGCAGTATGTGGTGTTTACGCCAACAAGTCGCGAAATATCATAGTCAATTACAAATCCCGATTTTCAAATTAAGGTAAAAATATTTGCAAAGTAAATTGGAAATATATGATAGCAAATTCTTCTAGACGATCCCAGTGGCCGCGCGGTCTAAGGCATGAACTGTCTTCGTTCGCTCAAACGCTGGGATCGTGGGTTCGAATCTCACTCAAGGCATGGTTGTCTGTGTGTGCGTTTATTCTGTTTGTATTGTCCTGTGTGTAGGTAGCGGCCTTCCGAAGGCGTAATCACCCATCCAAGGAGTCCTACTGTCTGCGTAAAAAAAAAAAAAAGAAATGATTATCAAACTGAAAAACAGGCCATGGCCCAACAAAGGGCTGTACCCACTAATGAATGAACGTCTTATTCTACGAGGCACATCGGCCTAATTACACGTTTCCTAGCTTCACGAATGGCAGACTAGTTTAAGTGTTCCCAACATATACGGAAACTATATTACTTCGCCTTTGAAATTCGATTTTAAAATAACACGTAATGGGACGTGTTACAAACGCAAACATAAAAAAAAGGGAACAATGTCTTCTGACGTTGGTCAGAAGTGACTGAAACATATAAAGATGATCTATATTCTCATATTAAATTTGTTACACTCCACTGACCGTATTCATTCATGCATGACAAGCTAAATATGATAGTATGATTTTATGCATACTTGATATAACGGTTGGATTGCAATGACGAGGTCAGAACACCTTCAACGCAAACAGGATACATCAAGAGGAGGAAATACAAACAGTATCCTGGAGATTTATTTAATAACTATCAGCAGCATCTGTTCTTTGCTTGAGACATGGTTGGTTTCCTCAGCAATATGACAACATATAGGAGCTGAATTATTATATTTCAGCATCCCATTGTTTTGAGGCATCATCCTATTTTGTACCAATGTATCTGTCAGTAATACAACTTTAAAAAGACATCAGGAATATGCTGTTCACTAAAAATGCATTTTAATACTATGACGGTTCAAATAAATAAAATGTCCATAGGCCTTTATGTAGTAAATTTACACATTAAAAGTGAATATTCACACTCCTAAAATTGCCTTGGTTTTAAATGTATTTTTACTAATTTATATTCACAACATGTTTCAGCCTCACTGGGCCATCATCAGGTGAAATCTATCCTCGAGTGAGACCACTGCACTGTATTTGTTTCTCATGATTCATGCTAGTTGTTAAATTTCATTTTTAACCAGCTATTTTGCACCTGTTGTCACTGTAACATACAACATGTAATAGAATGACTAGTGTACGCTTCTTTGGCTACCTTGATGTTATCATATATGATACGTGTAGTTACATTTGTCGTTGTTTCCCTATTTCCTACATAGAAGCTGAAGCTCTGAAGGAAGCATCACACTCAAACTATGCAGGTAAAGTTAACCCATATAATTAGAAAGAGA